TGGAGAAGTGGCTCCTGTACAAGCTAGACGGGTACAAGCTAGACGGGTTGCAGCTGAAAGGCAGTGTTTGTTTGCCTTGGAGCAGAGAGGGCTGAGGGGAGGATCTGAATGAGGTTTACAAAATACGAGAGGCACAGACAGAGTAGATCATGAGAATCTCTTCGCCATGGCAGACATGTCTAAAACTAGAGGACAAATATTTAGGGTGAAGAGTAAGTTGTTTAGAGGAGATATGAGAAAGAATGTTTTCACTCAGAGGGAGGTAGAGATATATGGAACGTGCTGCTTGAGAGGGTAGTGGAGGCAGATACTGTTGCAACATTTAAAAAGCATCTAAATATGTACCTAAAATGCCAGAGCATATTAGGCTAAGGACAAAGTGCAGGTAAATGGGATTAGTGTCGTTTGGTGTTTGTTGGTCAACATAGTGCCTATATGAGCTTATGATTCTATGACTCTCTCTTATTCTTATCACCTGCCATTGGTACATGCTGGAGATTTCTGCAGATTGATATGCAACGTGTTTTGCTGCAATATGAATGGACCTTCGTTGGCCATTAATCCCTAGATTGTGACTTGAACCTAGTGACTCTGACTCAGAGATGGCAACACAATCCACTGCACTACAAGACATCTTGTTTTAGCAGGCTGTAAGCTCATATGGCATTATTTCAATGATAAGTTTCAAAGCCAAGCTCTCAAAAAATTAGACATACATTCTCAGCCATGAGTATACTTTATTCTACAATAAAGAATAATTCTGGATATTCTGTGTTCACAGAAATAAATAATGTTACTTGCTGCTGTCAGTTCCAATGGCAGTTAAATGACTCACCAAACAATTTTTGACATCACGCCAAAAGGCGTTAGCTTAAACATGCATGAATGAAATTTGAACTCAGGGTAGTGAACAAACACAATAACAAAGTATACACAACAAAGTATACTTGTAGTCTTTACAGTGTCTATAAAAATAGCATTACCGTCTGAATGACTGATCTGCATTGGAGTTTTGAATTATTAACTGCTGTTATTAAGTTATTTGCTGTAAGCAAAACTGTCTGCAAAACAATTATAAAAGGGTGACTTATGATATTATGTTATTTAAATTTATACTTAACGATACATGTGAAAGTTGGAGGTTCTGGTAAGGCAGTGCCCTACTTATTCTTCCTGGTTCGAATTTTCCCAGTAATTAGAGAGCTTTGTGCATTTATGCTGGGCATACAGAGTTCTCCATTTTGCTAATTTCTCAATGTTTCAATAGTATCTGTAATCTCGGTGCAGTTGTATAAATTTAAAATAAACTGGATATATTTAAAAAGAGCTCACCACCTAAAAGGACAAGGGCAGTAAATGCATTGAAGCACCACCACTTGCAAACTCCCCTCCAACTTGCACAACAATCCAAATTGGAACTATAATTATTGCTCCCTCACTATTATTGGGTCAAACTCCAGAAACTGTTCCTAACTGCACTCTGGGTGTCCCTACACACAGAGGACTGCAGTGATTTAAAGATACAGCTCACTATTATTTTCTCCAGGACAATTAAAAATAGGTGATAAAATGTTAGTCTAGTCAGCAATGCTCACACCCCAAGAACGAAGATAAAAGAAATGAAGAGTAGACCCATAAGCATTTTTAAAATGTTAATTGTCTCTACACTGAAGTGATAGTCCATGTGATTTCATAAGAACATAAGATACAGTGTGCAAGATTATCTGGCTATTAGAAAGATGCTTATAACCTTTGTTACAGTATCTTAAATGATTTCAGAGCTTTTTTCTCCCCAAGCTGTATCTGAAATTTCATCCAATGCTCTGATCATTCTATGTATGAATAATGACCACTTAGGTTCAAAGTGGACTAATGGATGAGTGAATAATGAAACAAAAAATCTATCCAGGTGAGGGTCTAGGCCCGAAACGTCACCCTTCCTGCTCCTATGATGCTGCTTGGCCTGCTGTGTTCATCCAGCTCTGCACCTTTTTATCATCAATCCAGGTGAAGCTCCTTTTGCAAGGAAACTGAAAGAACTGCAGTAGGTATCCAAATTGGATAATATGTAAATCTGGAGATAATGGCATTCTATGGCATCCTTTGCCTTTGTTCCGCTTGGTGGTGGAGATCACAGATTTTGGAGGTGCTACCTTGTCATACATCATGTAATAAATACATGCTACAGTGACAGTATGCCAATGATGGAGAGAGCAAATGTGTTAAGTCAGTAGATAGGGTGCTTATCAAGCAGGAATAACAACAAGCTTTATGAATGATGTTGAAGCTATACCATGGGACAAGTGGTGAATATTCCACCACACTTCTGATTTTTATCTTGGCACAAATGTTACTTACTACTTATCAACGAAAGCACAGATGTTGCCCAAGCACGGACTGCTTAATTATCTGAAGAATTGGAAGTAGAATTGAACAGTGCACAATCATCAGTAAATTGCCCCATGTCTGACCTTATAATGGAGGATATGCTACTGGCAAAACAACTGATGATAGTATGCCTATTACATTGCCCTGAGGGACTTCCGTAGCAATATCTGAGAGTGAGATGATTAGTTAGTCTTTAACTACCACAACCATCCTTCTATGTGCTGAGATTCTCCCTGATTCTCATTGACTTCATGTTTCTTAGTGCCACAATTGGGTTATTGCCTCTTTGATATCAACGTAACTCTGGAAATTAGTGTTCTTGTTTTCATATTTGGACCAATGCTTTAGTGTAGCTTGGAGCAGATTTGTTCTGAAGGAATGCAAGCTGAACAAAGGTGAGCTAGCTATTTGTGAGCAGGAGTAGCGTGATAATAGTATTGATAGCTACTTCCATTAATTTGCTGATATTGGGAATAGGCTGAAAAGGTGATCATTGACCAGATAGAATTTTTCCTATTCTTTATTGACAGGACATGCTGGTACAATTTTCCACATTATCAGTGGATACCAGTGTTTTAACTGTGCTAGACACATTAGTTAAGAGTGCAGCTGTTTGTGGAGCACAATATTTAGCACTAAGCCAGGTTATTGTCATGGTTTGAAGCTTTGCTGCGTCTAGTGCACATTGGCTGAAAATTCTGATGGTGGGGCCCTCTACAGGAGGCAGAGAAGGATCATGTATGCCACTTGGTTGTGAACTGTATAGCTTTGGGTTTTGTACTCATAGGCTGGCCTCCATCATCACTTTGAGTGGCTGTATTCATGGTGCTTTCTCCTCCCATTAGTCGTTTAATTGTCCATGCATGACTAGACGTGGCAGGTCTGTACCATTTTCGCCTGATCAGTTGGTTATGCAATTGTTTAGTTCTCTGACATCCTGTTTCTGCTGTTTTGCATATTTATATTCCTGTGTTGTAGCTTCATCAAATTGGCACTTTATTTTCAAGTATGCCTGGTTCTGCCCTTGGCATGCTGTTCCACACTTTTCACCCAGTCAGGATTGGCCTGTCTCAACAGTGATAGAGGAATGAGGGGTATCCTAGACTATAAGATGACAGATTTTGTGATGTACAGATCTGTGCTGATAATGTTTCAGCAAAGCTCAGGAATGCCCAATTTCATGTGCCCGTTGTAACAAGGTGATAGTGTCTTGTTATATGATGGAGGGTGTTCCTGGTGTGAAGATGGAGCTTGAATCTCCAGAAGGTCATTGTAATGATTATTCCTAAGAGTGTTACATCTAGGACAGGTAGATTGGTGAGTGTGATGTTAGTCTTTTGTGTTGATTCTCTCAGTAACCTACTAAAAGCTGAGTCTGGTAGTTACGCCCTTCAGCACTCAGCCAGTTTGTCCATAATAGTATTACCAAGACACTCTTGGTGTTAGAAACTGAGGTTCCCCACCCAAGGTTATATCACACACCACTGCTTCCTCCAAGTGGTATTCAGTGTACAGGAATACTGATTCATCAGTTGAAGGAGGTTGGTAGATTTCATTGAGCCAAGAGACTTAATTTGATCTGGAGTCAATGTTAAGGACTTCCAATATCATTCCTTGTTGCCTGTATATATTATGCCCCTACCTCTGGTGAGTCTGGCCTATTAGTAGGGCAGATCCCCAATAGTAATTATGTGCGGCATGGTTGCTCAGTGTTAGCACTGCTACCTCACAGCGCCTGTGATATGGGTTCAATTCCACCCTTGGTCTACTGACTGTGTGGAGCCTGCATGTTCTCCCCATGTCTGTGTGGATTTCTTCTGGGTGCTCTGGTTTTCTCCCACAGTCGAAAGAGGTTAGGTGGATTGGTCATGCTAAATTACCCATAGTGTCCAAGGGTCATGCAAGCTGGGTGGATTAGACATGGGAAATATAGGGTTACAGAAATAGGGTTAGGGGAGTGGATATGGGTAAGATGCTTTTCAGAGAGTTAGTGTCGACTCAATGGGCCAAATGACCTGCTTCCATACTATAGGGATTCTATGATAACAGATGAGGCTGGGACATTGTTTTAGGTATAAGGTTATATGACTGTCTCTGCTACAGTGACCATTGTTAAAGAAAGTGGCTGGGGGTGCAGGGCTGCTAGTTGATAGTCTACAACCATAGCTATACCATCATTTTTGCATCATTTATTGAAGCTTTAATCTTTTTTCTTTAGAAGTTATTGATTTGTCCAGAGAATATGATTTCAAATTTCATACGTGTTTTGAGATATTATAAGAAAGTATAACTAATCAGAACCAAGTAAAACTTCATTTGGATCTCTCCAACGCGAAGATGCCAGGACAATTTCAAAGCTATATGGCGTGGTAAGTAGATTTCGGGAAGTATAACTGTGTGGTTGTATTGGAGATTTTGTGAATGGGGCTGATGTGATGGATTTAATCCTCCCTTATTATGTGGAGGTGCTGGTGTTGGATTGAGATGGACAAGGTCAGAAATCACAGGACACCAGGTTATAGTGCAAAAAGTTTATTGCTCCAAAAGCTTGTGCTTTCAAATAAACCTGTTGGAATAGAACCTGGTGTCGTGTGATTTCTGACCTTGTCCTCCCCTTATCCACTCGGGATATTTCCAGCAGATCTACTGGGTAGAAAATATTCTCTCTCGATGAGTTTTGTTTCGCTTTAAGTATTAGATTACAATGCCTAATTTGAAAGAGACTATTTTAATTACAGCTTTGCATCATCCCACGTGTAGGGCTACTGTTTAATATTAAAGAGAAGTAATTATCTACATGTTCATTGATACAACGCGTAGAACAAACAATCTTGCTTCACTTGAGCGGGAGAGTTGATATTCCGGAGACTCAAGTTCTTGTGGGAGTTCGCAGACTTTAGAACTTTAATTGCTTGTCATTTGAGCGTGCCAACCCTGCAATAAACAAAACATCAGAATGGATGTAAATCTCAGAACTCTGTTATATATTCAGTAAGGAGTGAATAAATAGAGAGATGCCCAGGAGTATCACCATATGCAAATTCTAAATCTCGATTTGCCAGTGGCAAGTACGCCAGCTTCATTGAATTTCTATAACATCCCTTTGTTTGAATTCAGAAAAGATTAGAGTTTGTTTTCTCCTTTATTTGTTAATGGGATGAGGATGTCACAGTCTAGGCAGCATTTATTGCCCACCCCTAATTGCCCTGAGGGCAGTTGAGAGTCAACCACATTTTTGTGGGTGTAGAGTCACATATAGGCCAGACCAGGTAAGGATGGCATTAGCAAACCAGATAGGTTTTTCCCAGACAATCAACAATGGATTCATGGTCATCATTAGATTCTTAATTTCAGATACTTTTATTGGATTCAAATTCCACCATCTGCCATATCAGGATTCGAACCCAAATGCCTAGAATGTTATCCAGGTCTCTGGATTAATAGTCCAGCGATAATACCGCGAGGCCATTGCCTCCCTCTAACAGTTTCATTTGTGTGCCTTTAGAATAATATGTGGTGTTCAGCTGCTAGTATACTATATCTAGCCGTCAATGTTTAGCTTTTTTTTAATTGTCACATATATCTGGAGAAATAGAGTGAAAAGTGTTCAGTTAAAATGCACGCAGCGAGTTTGTTAAATAAAAAAGTGATTTGCGCGGAGGAAACAAAACTAAGCCTTAAAAGCTCCTAACAGATTTTTTGAAGCTGTTACGTGACGACAAATGGAAAATGAGTTACCTGTCGTGTATTGTGGGTACATCAGGGTATATCCCGTAACGATCTGCCTCCTGCCCAGTCCATGAGACCTTGAGAGCACACAGTCCACATAGATGTCCCAGAAGAGCTGAGCCAGGTCAATGAACAGGGCGGAGTGTTTGGGTTTTTCCGAGAGTTTCAGGTAGATCATGAAGTCCCAAAGGCCGCTGACCGTCTCGGCGAACCGCAGCTTCTTCATCTCGACGAGGGCGAGAGAGGAGCTCTCCCAGCACTGAGGGTCGATCTCCCCCAGGCTCATTGGGTCTGTGTTCCTTTTCTGGGCCATAACCACCGTCAGGATCCAGATCAGCATCAGGAACAAGCTGCCGCCAAGACACTGCATGCCTATACACAGGCTGGTCTAACAATGCAAAAACAAACACAGGCGACTATAGAGTCAAACATTTGAAATCGGCATGGAAATAAAATGGGACAGTTACTGATTTTTTTTGTGATGTCTCCTTTAACCATGCGCGGTACGATATAGGGTTAAATCGTTATGTTATTCGGAAAATATCAGATACTTTTCTACATTGACAGTGATCAGCACAGGAGCACAGACACATCCTGCGTTGTGTGGGGCAATGCTCATCCCACCAGTTTTAGGAGCATAAGAGCAGGAGCAAACCAGTCCCCCCTCCTTCACACACACACACACAGCCTGTTTCGCCATTCAGTGGGAGTTCTGATCTGAACCTATCTCCATATAGCCGCCTTTACTTCACTTTCTTTACTGACAACCGAAAGCATGTCAGTCTCCGATTTAACATTTACCAATAATCCTGAGGTCATTTGCGGGACAGAGTCTTTCCTCATTGGAAAGCCTGGCTCTATTTTCTGACGAAGTATCCTCGACCTAAACTCCCCAAATCAGCGATTCTCTATCTCTACTATCTATTCCCCTGAATATTTTGAGAAAGTTAATCAAATCATCGCTTAACCTTTAAATTCCATGGGACAAAACAATCACTCTTCCTAATGTAACGTTTGAAACCCACGGATAATTCTGCAAAATTTACCCTGCCTTCCCTTCGGGCTGCGATGTCCAAAACTATTCATAGGCATGATCTAAACAGGAATAACAACAGGAACAATAAGCGCAGAAGGAACTCAGCAGGTTCGGCAGAATCAGTGGGGACGAAGAGATTTAATGTTTCCAGTTAAACATGGAACTTTTGGAACTTCATTTTTGGTCTAACCAGGACCCGTGCAGCTTTAGATAATGCCCATTCTTTTATATTCCAGCTGCATAATGCCAGCATTCCATTGGCCCTATGAATTATCTTCTGTGTCTGTTCATGATCTGTGTGACTGAACTATCAGATCCCGGTGGGTGCCCACTAGTTCCAGATTTTAGCAGTGTTCTTTGTACATCTCTCCAAATGCCGAATGAAGGAAAGGCGCCTATCATAAGATAACATATTACAAAGAATTGTCCTTGCATTAGATGGTGGAAATTAGCTTTGGGGTATATTCGACCACAAAATGGATTAAAAATCTAAAATTATGCAACAGCCTCATGGATTTCACTAGCAGTAATGAGTGTCTTGACATTCGATGGAATATTGCTGGTGAAAAGCTTAGGGTCACTTGTTTTTTTGTTTAGCACAGAACGGTATGTTCACTTGTAAATGTGTTACCGACTTCTCGGTGTAAGTGTGTGAGAGACCAGGTGTGTTTCGGTTGGATTCGCCACCAAGCTGCATCATAAGGAAGAGCCGGAGTAAATTAACCTATCCTGCCTATGATTCTCCACTTCTTACAAAGCACACCAAAAGGGGGCAGCAGATCTGAGCAGGCAATATAATGATTGGAAAGAATGAGAACAAATAAGCTAAGGAAGAGCCCCCCTCAGACTGAAGGAAAGGAAAATAATTGTATGTTGACGGTTGATTGTGTGACCGGCATTTCAATAACTACGTTAAAGGACAGGCTCTGCTTTACACAGGAATTTCTGAACATCTGTAAGGTCCCCCAGACAACAGGTCGGAAACCAAATGCAGACATTAATTATCGCCATGCCTTGGAGGTCAATGTTAACACGTAAGAATGGTCCGGTGCACTGTCAATGCAAGCATATGAAATGTATTATAACTCATTTACAAATGCCTAACTCTACGGACAGATGTAAGTCATTCAGTCCATCGAGTCTGCTTGGCCATTCAAGGAAATTCATGGCTGATCTGAGAATCCTCAACTCAACTCCACTTTCCTGCCTTATCCTCATAATCGTTGATTCCCTTACTGATTAAAAGTCTGCCTCGGCCTTGAATATATTTTATGGTCCAATCTCAACAGCCGTCTGCCGTAAAGAATTTCACAGATTCACTACATCCTTGAGGTCAAAACAAAATCCTCTAATCCTGACCCCATCTCTTGTTCTAAATGGGTGACCCTTTATTCTGAGATCGTGTCTACTGGTCCCAGACTGTCCCACAATGGGGAAATACCTTTCCATATCTACCCTAACAAATCCCCTAATAATTTTTTTTTAATCCCTGTTTGGAATCTCGTGAGATATAATGTTTTGATGTATTTAGAGCTATTATTTTAAAATTGGTTTGATGCTGTAAATTGACGAAAATGAAGATACAGCGTTGGAAAACTGAAATCAAAGGAGAATTTAATGGAGCTACGCCAAGTCAAGCATTTCCGTACAGAGAGAAAAAGTGAGGTTAATATTTCAATTGCAGCACACTATCCACGTTCCGCTTCTCAGCCTCTGTGTTGTCTCGGTCTATGTTACTTGAGCTATTGAAAGTTTCCAGCTGTCGTGTTTCTTTATAAAGCTTTGCTCGGGAGTGTTGTATATACTCTGTACAAAGGATGTTGGAGGATGGCTTCTATTTTTACTAAATACCTGACCATGACCCTTTACTGTCGGTTCCAAGCTGGATTTCCCGGTACACTTTACCTGACGAAGAAGGAGCGCTCCGAAACCTTGTGATTTCAAATAAACCTGCTAGACTATAACCTGGCGTAGTATGAATACTGTCAAAGGTCGCAAGGTGCAGGACTGGATCTAGCCTTTCTCTCAGCAGTCAGGTCATACGATCCACATCCAAATCAACAAGGAACTTTGACAGACACATTTCACATGCATTTGGGTGAAACAGCGATACAGCAGTTACGAAAACACGTACCATAAACCGCGAATTAAGAATATGTAAGCAAAAAAAAGACACACGTGCAGAAATCATGACACTGTGAGAATGCAAAGTGCACTTTAAAAACCGTGTTTTTAACGATGCAGAAACAACTCGGGTTGACTTGACGGCTTCCTGCTGGAGTTTTGATGTATTTAGAGATTTTATTTTAAAATTGTTTTTTAATTCAGCTATATGCTTCGTCTGAACAACTCCACACTCTCTGGGCAAGGACATTTCTCCCGAATTTACCGTTGGGTTTATCAGTGCCTGCTTTATACATCTAAGACTACAAGAAATAGGAACAGGAGTAGGTTGTTGGGCCCCTCGAACCTGCTCCAGAATTCATTAGGATCAAGGATGATCAGACATTTCTCACCTCCATGTTCCTGCCTTTCAATCTTAATTCCCCTACTGATAAGATTCTATCTATCTCAGCCTTAGATACACACAAGGATCTGCCCCCACGGCTCTCTGTGGCAAAGGGTTCCAAAGACTCTCAACTCTCTAAGAGAAGAAATTCCCCCTCATCACTGTCCTAAAGTGATGCCCCTCATTCTCTCTGGTCCTACACTCTCCCATGAGGGAAACCTTACTGTCCGCATTTACCCTGTCAAGCCCGTTAAGAATCCTATGTGTTACAATGAAATCATCTCTCATTCTTCTAAATCCCCGACTAGAGTCCCAACGTGTTTAGCCTTTGCTCATAAGACAATTCCCACATACCTGGATCATCCTAGTGAAGCTTCTCTGAACTGCCTCCAAATGAGTTGATGCCTTTCCTTAAATAAGGGACCAAAACTTCTCACAGTACTCTAGAGGTGATCTCACCAGCGCCTTGTACCCTAGAATTGGTCCCAGCAAGTGGAAGCATCTGTCTTATACCTGTCCTAACAATCTTTGCTGTAATCTAGATCTTTTACAGGTCACCCCTCACTCTTCTCTACAATAGAACAAAGGACCATCGCCTTTTCTTCCCTGGAGGTGTAACCCATCAACTTTGGTTTCACTGTCTTTTGAGGAAAATAGACTGGAATTAAAGCAGACGGCCAATTTGCAATGAGCCTACAAATGAGGGGCTCATGTGGCACAGTGACTGCGTCCCTGCCTTTGGGCCATAAGGTCTGGGTTCAAATATCCTCAGTACCGTGCTGTCCCGTGTCCGAACAGGTTGCTTCACAATAAAACTACTTGCTATACTTGCCTGTATGACAGAAAATGAGGCTCGACACTTTAACATGAAGACTTTACTAACATCTCGGCCAGTGAAATACGACAATTCTCTTGCATAGCAAATCTCGTCCATGGCAAAAATGCATACTCACATTGAAGGTGTTCGACTCTCTTTCTCTAGTTATGAATCACCGCGACATGAGCAGATTCAGCAACGCTGTGTTGGTTATTGGTCGCTGACGAACAGCAGGAGAAGTTGCTTCGTTAGGCTGAGCAAGGTTGGGATCCTGGAGTTGGGCTTTGGAACCCGTTTGGCATCGCGTGTATTTATACCACAGTCCGCCCACAGTCTCTGCGTCAGGTTGTGTGCCGCTCAATTTCTCCTCTGCCTCGCAAAATGACCGGTTTTCTGCTGCATCATTACTATGAACCATCCACCCTCAACTACCTGCAAATGATACCTGTGCCCCAGCCGTCAGTGGAAAGAAGTTTACCGGAATTTCAAGGGATTTGTATTTTGTTTTAACCACTGAATCTCACAAGGTGTGTTGAGGAGTTCGGTCGAAAGTAAAAAAAACTCTCAGATATTTATTGATGTGATTATCAATCCTCCAGCATCTCTTCAATACCAGAGCGTATTAATAGATTCGGGGAACGCATGGAAAATCTTGGAAATAGAAGCTGATTTTTTTCAAGGGACGGTGAACATAGAACGCAAATCTACCACTCCCCCACAGAAAGTTAGAATTTCAGCAGATGTTATAGCATACAGATGGAGAAAGGTGGTCACGTCAGGCTTAGTCCTGCAGTTGCTGCTTGGTTTTACTGGGGCTCAGGTTCTGGATACAGCTTCGGTTGCTCTGCACAGTGTGTGAGGGGTTGCAGCAGTTCACGTGTATGGGTGATAATTCCCGGGCCTGCACCAGCGGGGCACACACAGCACGGTACCGGGGTACACACAGCACGGTACCCGGGGTACACACAGCACGGTACCGGGGTACACACTGCACGGTACCCGGGGTACTCACAGCACGGTACCCGGGGTACACACAGCACGGTACCGGGGTACACACTGCACGGTGCCCGGGATACACACAGCACGGTACCCGGGGTACACACAGCACGGTACCCGGGGTACACACTGCACGGTACCCGGGGTACACACAGCACGGTACCGGGGCACACCGGCAGCGGGGCCAGGCAGAAGCGCCAATGAATCAGCTCTGTGGCCCGGGACAGCTCCGCTCAGCCTTGCAGCGACAGCACAGCGGGCTCCACTGAGGCCAACTGGTGCTCATTCCGGCAAACATACTGGGCTTCATTTGCCTGCCACTTACAGCAACCACCTCAGGAAATGACCCCTTGCCACCCTGGAGTTCCTCTGCTGTTGGGGAAACCCCAGGGCCCGAAGGGCACCCCGACCCCCCTCCGCAATGGGAGTCTGATTTTCCTGTAGTTTTATTGTTAAGCACCTGCCGCTCTCCTGACCCTGGTCTGGGAGATTGAGGGCTCGCTCACGCTGCGGTGGAATTTGGCCTCAGGACCCTCATCTAATCGGAGTCCAGTAGCCCCCGGGAAAATCCAATCCAGTATTCGGATTGGATGCAGTGTTCCATACTGATGTGACTCTACGTGTACGCTCTAACCTTAGCATCGGAATGAAGGTGATAGATCAATGCACTTTAACATACTATATTTCATTTGCGGCGGTTCGTTTTAATTTTATGATACAGCAGCATGACAAAAGTGCCTTTATTAAGGCTGTCACATCAGTATCAAACAGCAGGATGTCCTGCAATATTCTATGGATCAAAGCTGTACTTGTTGTGACATTTGGACGTGTCTCGTGGGGAGAACATTATCCACACACGCTCAAAGAAAACCAGTCATCGGTACACGGTTTTCATTGTTAGACAGAGCCCTTTCCATTGCAGAAGCTACTTTAATCTTCACGTGACAGAAGATTTCAATTTTAGATTTTTAAAAAGTCTTTTCTCAAGGCAATCTGATCAATGCTGGAATGTATCTGTAGGGACCATTAATACTAACACATGCGCTCTCCACCTATCTTTTTTACCCATCTTCTATCCGCCTCCTCCTCTCTCCCTATTTATTTCAGAATCCCCTTCCCCTCCCCCATTTCTGAAGAAGGGTCTAGACCCGAAACATTAGCTTTTCTGCTCCTCTGATGCTGCTTGGCCTGCTGTGTTCATCCAGCTCTACAGCTTGTCATCAGATTGTCCAGAATCTGCAGTTCCTACTATCCTTGCTTCCAAGGAGTTTCTGTTTGACGGCGATGTTCGAACACAAAGGGGCAAAACTGTCAATCTTCAATGAACACAAGAGCTATGAACAAGGTGTCACTTGGGATCCTCCGGGGCACACTTAGTCGTGATAGGTTAGGTGACAGAAAGCTTCCACGCTTATCTTACAAGTAAATGCCTGATAATTTGTACATTGCATTATGCTTGTTTACAAAGTCCTCTTGAACAGGTAGCCCTACTATCCGCCTCTTCCTCTCTCCCTATTTATTTCAGAATCCCCTTCCCCTCCCCCATTTCTGATGAAGGGTCTAGGCCCAAAACGTCAGCCTTCCTGCTCCTGTGATGCTGCTTGGCCTGCTGTGTTCATCCAGCTCCACACCTTGTTTTCTCAGATTTTCCAGCATCTGCAGTTCCTACTATCTCTGATACAATTTTAGCCCTACTAAGTATTTTTTTTTATTTTTCTGTGGGATGTCAGCAGTATTTTGTCTTCCCAGCTCATCAGTTCCCTTGAGAAGGAGATAGCTGCTTTCCTGAACCACTGCAACCCATTTGCACAGTGCTGTTATCGAGGGAGTTCCAAAATTCTGTTAAAGGAAGGTGGTGTCTTATTAATTGAATTGAATTTCCTGAAGAAATAATATGGAGCATTAATGAGTGTAGCACAGTGGATGTTTTCTGCATGGATTTCAGAACGGCATGTGACAAGGTCCCACATTGTTAAGGAAAACTAAAGCCTGTGGGAGACAGGGAAATGTGATTATTTGGATCCACAATTGGCTCACTGACAGGAAACAAAGGATTATTTTGTGCATAGGAAGCAGTTTTGTGTGGTATTCCAAAGTGCTCAGTTTTGAGTCCCCTGTTTTTTGCAGAATATATTAACGATTTAGACTTAACTTTGGGAGGCACAATTGGGAAATATGCAGACAGCACAATAATTGGCTGGTAGTGACGAAGATGGCAAAATGATATGAATGATTTGGTTGAGTTGGTAGAAAAGGAGCGAACGGAAGTAAATCTGGAGAAACGCGAGGTTATTGGGGGTCAAGGGGTGGCTATCAAAGGAAAGGAACACAAAATAAATGAAAGGATTGAGATGGGGTGGAAGAAATGAGAATGTGTCCACAGGTCCCTGAAGGTGATGGCACAGTACACAAGGTGATGAAGGAAGCATATTGAGGCTTTTCTTCATTGGATGAAATATTGAATAAAGACTTGGAAGACTGCATATAATTCTGGTCTCCCTGCTCTAGGAAGGATGTTGTTAAACTGGGGAGGACGGAGGAAAGACTTACGAGGATATTGCTGGGACTGGAGTGTTTGAGTTACAGGGCTTTTTTCCCTGGAGTGTCGGAATTTGAAGGATAACCTTGTAGAAGTTTATAAAATCATGACAGGCATGGATAGAGTGAGTAGCTAAGGTCTATTTCCCAGGGAAAGGGAGTCCAAAACTAGAGGGCATAGGTTTAAGGTGAGAGGGGGAAGATTTAGACAGGACCTGAGGGGCAACTTTTTCATGCAGAGTGTGGTGCATGTATGGAACAAGCTGGCAGAGGAAGTGGTGGAGGCAGCTACAATTGCAACATCTGGAAGGGGACATGAATAGGAAGGGTTAAGAGGAATATGGACCAAATGCTGGACTAGGTCAGATTGGGACGTCTCGTTGGCAGGGATGAGTTGGGTTTAAGGGTCTGTTTCTGTGCTGTATAACTCTGTGACTCTTTGACTCTGTGAGTGACAGTTTAAATGCCTGTCCTGTACTGATGACCACCCATTGTTTCAGCCTGATATCATGCACAGAGTCAGACCAGGGTAGTATAACTTGCAAAACACATGAACTTGCGAATGACTTTACTGTGCTGTCAATTTAATGCAAAGACAAAGCAGACTTTACCACCCACATTTTTCAAAGCCCAAGCTAATAAGAATGAGATAGGAGATCTGCCCTTCCATGGAGGCAGTATCAGACAGTGATCTGCTGTAGCATAGACCGGGTTGTCTGTGCATTCACATAACTCACAAACAGGCACCTACACTCATAATAACAACACAGCGCCTCCTGATCATGTCTATATTATTCCGAAGGTTGAACTTCCAATGGACAGTGCCTCTAGACCCTTCTAGAAATATGGCCAATTCAGAATAACAGAAGCCATTCCTGCAGGGGCTCTATAAATGAGCAACTGGAGCTAATCTCCTATTTTTCCTCATACACTGGCACATTATTTTTATCCCAATATTTGCCAAATGCCCTCTTGAATGCCTCAATTGAACCAGCCTCCACCACACTTCCAGGCAATGCAACCCATATGCTAATTACTGATTGAAAAAGATTTCCTGCACTTCACTCTTTCTTCTTTTGTAGATCAATGGGACAGACTAAATGGATTGGACATCCATGAGGCACTGTGGAGCATCAACAGCAGCAGAATTGTACTTTAGCACAATCTGTAACCTCATATCCTCTACTCAACCAGTACCATCAAGCCAGGAGATCAACGCTGGTTCAATGGAGAGTGCAGGAGACCACGCCAGGAGCAGCATTAGGCACATCTGAATATGAGTGCCAACCTGATGAAGCTACCAAACAGGGCTATGGCATGTCAAATAGCATAAGCAGCAAGTGATAGACAGAGCTAAGCAATCCCACAACCAATGAATCAGATCTAAGCTCTGCAAACTGCCACATCCAGTTGTGAATGATGGTGGACAATCAATCAACTCACTGGAGGAGGAGGCTCCACAAACATTCACATTGTTGATGATGAAAGAGCCCAACACAACAATGCAAACAATAAGGCTGAAAATTTGCAGCAACCTTCAGCCAGAAGTGTCTAGTGAATGACCTATTGCAGTTTCCTCCAGTGGTTCCCAGCAATACAGATACCAGTCTTCAGCCAATTCAATTCATTCCACATGATATCAAGAAAGGGTTAGATGCACTGGAGACTGAAACCATTATGGGCACTGACAACATTCCATCAATAGTACTGAAGACTAAGCCTTCAGAACTTGTTATTACCCTTGCCAAGCTCTTCCAGTA